TACAAGCCTGAAAGAAAAAAACTAAGATAACAAACAAAATAAAGAAAGGTGCTCATGCAAGAAAGAAAACAAAGAAGAGAATAAAGAAAGATAACAAGCAAAAGAAGAAGAAAGAGAAAAGAAAGCAGAAAAGACAGACCAAATGAAGAAAAAAGCTTTAAAGATAATAAATATATTTGTCACAAAAGAGAGAAGACCCTTTTAATATAGTTTTAAGTAGTTAGACAAGCAGTCTATTTCTAACTAAGATAGTATAACAGGTTGCACTTAGGTACCATTAGGGTGGCTAAGTGATGCTAGACTTAGATATTAGAAAATTCTATGTAATTATTTAATATAATATATAGTTTCAAGAATCTTAATAAAGTACTAGCGTAACTGCTTAAGGTTAAAAAAAAATATATTCAATTTAATAAAATTTAATTAAATACTAATTATTTTTTTTTTGATGTTAAGGTGACCTCTTTGGTCTTTTGATTTTTATTAATCACTTATTAGTATTGTGGTTCAATGAACTATTACAGAATCAGTTTAGATTACAAATAAACTAATCTGAGCTCTTATTCTTGCATGTAATTTTTATTTTGTTACAAACAACCTTAGTTTATTTTAGTACTATTGTACTAAAATATACAGTTAAAATTATTAATAAAAATATGAGCAAGGCCTCACTTTAATACTAAAAAAAAAAAACTATTACAGAAGAGTATACAATTGGCTACATGTATAATTTTTCTATATTACCTATTTAAGGAGTCTGCCTGAAGGTTCTCTATTAATTGCTATACCTAACACTCCTGCTTGGATGTTCTACTTTAAAGCCTCTAAACTTGTAACCTGTATTAAGTTACTGGGTCATATCCAGATGCCCAGATCATTATCTTAACCTTAGGACTAATTTATTCTCGAGGTAAACCCTCCAGAGCCTTCTGTATCCATTTTTACAGCTGACCTAGATATTATTATAACAGAACCAAAATTTGCAGTCAGGACTAAGCATTAAACTGCTATGTCCTTATAGAATTCACTTAGACCCTAGCATCTACTTTACAGCATAATCCTGGTATTTTAGTATACCTCTGCCTTTTCCTCTGCCTTTTTACCAAACTTCCAATTCAGATAACCCATGTAGAACTATGACCAGTCCATCAGTATATTGGGTCAGCCCAATATTCTTTTTCTTAGTTCATTCTTGCAACCTGATTGGTAGTATTTATGAGACTCCCAACTCAGAGGTTCTTGTTCATCCAGCTACTATGACCAGATACTGGACCTTGGTATCCATGTCTTCAAGCTAGCCTTTACAATAAAGTCATCAAAGATCCAGCTACCTCTCTATTCGAGTCTTCTCAAATAAACTTATTGTTATCTAATTGCAACAGATTTACACAGCCACAAGGACTTATCTAGTGTTCAAACTACCCAATTTGTTAGTTTGCATTCTTTCATGTAACTCCAACATTGCACAAATGTCCCATGACCTGCCAGTCATGCTGATATGATCGCCATTACAGGTATTCTAATCCAATTATTAGTAACAGTTGTTGTAATATGAATATTACATAGGTGATTATCTAAATTTTTGCTGTCAATGGAATTTGAACACCCAACCTACCACTTGGAGGTTGACAACCTAACCACTTCACTAGGTTGCTATACTCTTAAATACTAATTGTATAGGTTTTTATAATTGTATTTAATACTATTTTTTTCATTGTGTAATAATAGGTTTACAGCTAATAAACTTAATAAAAACTTATTTTAGAACCATAGCAACATAGTAAAATAGTCATGTTATCAACTTCTAAATAGCAGATCTAGAGTTCAAATTCTAATATTAATAAAAATTTGAATTCTTTTTGTATTATAGTTAACTGTTTATTACTATTAATTGGAATTAAATACTTGTTATTCAGCATGGCTAAAAGATCATATAACATTTGTGTAATAGTTATACATTGTATAAAGAAACACAAACTAGTATTAGGTAAAATAAATCTGTAATAAGTCTTTATGACTATATAAATTACACAAACTAAAAAACCTACTTAAAAGACCAAGTAAAGAGGTAATTTAAACTTTTGATAATAATACTGTAAAGACTAAATTTATAAAATGAAACTAGAACTTGTAAAACCAGATGAAAACAAATTATCTTTAGAAAGAGACCATTTTAACTAATCAGTCTGCTAAGATTTATTTCAGAAAAAAGATTATATAATAAAAGAACATGTAAATTAGAAGTATGATTATATTTATCTTTTCAGACTATCTGAATTAAGAACTTGATAGAACTTAAATTGAATATCAAAGTAATAGAGAAATGTAGTAAAATAAATACTAGAATTAAGGTGAACTCTATAAAGACATAGTAATTTAATAATACATCTTGACTGCAAATGTTGGTTTCAATTATAATATTATTAGATAAACTATAAAAATAAGATATAGAAGATTCTGAAAGGTTTAATATAAGGTCAAAGGTTTTTTATATGAGTGAATTGCTTTAAAGATTTAATGACCATGATATATTTTCATTGGTATTGACTAGAGTCATTAATAGGTGTAAGTAGATGGGTAGATACAGGAACTAGAGTGTTTAAATAGAGAACTTATAAGCAAGTTTCAGGTATGACAATTAGTGCAATAACTAAAGTTGTATAAGTAACTAGTTGTATACTCTTTTCATGATTGCCCTTATGGTTGTAATGCAACCATTAGCTGAATGTACTATCAATAAGATCTTGGGTCGCAAGTACTCACCTTAATATTTAAAAACTTATTTTTTTTAAAAAAAAATTAAACTAACATAAGTGCTTAAATTTATTTGCTAACATTAAACATTTAATAAATTTAATGTTAAATATATCATGATGATATTTTGATTAATACTAATGTATATATAATACAGTAATAGGTTGAAAGTTTTTTCTTTGAACTTTGTAATAAAACTCATTGTTTTATTTCAAAATAATAAAAAACGTGTTTCGAGTATATATCATATAAATGAAAACGAAAATAAAACGTGACACAGATGAAGTTAATTTTTTTTAGAAAGATGAATGTATCGTTTTTCTAGAAGTTTAATATCGTATATTATTCTTTAAAATTTTTTAAAGTTAGTATTAATTTAATTTGACTGTTGTGTCTAATTAATCATATACAAGTCAATTTAATGCTTGACCTGATAAATATATATGAGAATGAGGAATCAAGCACTAAAGATATGAATCCGAATTCAAAAAAACTCTTTATGAGATATAAATTGTTTCTTATTTATTAGTTACATTTAAATGAATATAGATTAATATAATAGTTTTATTATTTCAGACGTTTGATTACCTTAAAAGTCTAATAATCCTTCGGGACAAAAAAAAAAAGACTTCGAAGTGTTGAATCAAATTTCATGCTTATTCAAAAATTGTAGATGACAGTAAAGATTTTGAATGAGCAAAAACAAAAAAAAAACTTTTCCTACAGTATTAAATTTAAATTTGAAGTTTTAAAAAAAAATAATAAATAAAAATAAAATTTTGATGTAAATATATTTTAAGCATTCGAATTTGAATGTAATTTGTTGCAATAACTAAATAAGTTTTCATCCGAATAATTTTAAGCAGCGCTTACGTATGTACCTGATTTTTAGTGGCAATACTAGGTGGGTTGGTTTCCCCTGACGGCACTCATATATACAATAATAAATTTAATTTTATTACTAACAATTTTTGACGTTATTTACGTCTAAGTTACTTCTTTTTTTGGCTTGTATCACAGGCACAGAATAAATCCTATATAAGATGATTGAGTTCAATAATTATTTTTAATCATGAGTTCACATCATCATCACGATAAATCTTGTTCTCACGACCATTCACAATATTCTCAAAACTTAGAGGAACTAGATTTTCAAAGATCAATACATAATGCGTCTTTAATTGGTAATATTTCACAAGTAAGGTCAATTATTTCGAAGAAAGGTAGCGCAGTTACGAATCAAACTGATGCTGCTGGATATACTCCTTTGGTATTTGGAAAATATTTTTACAATTTAATTATTTTTGGTTTTTTTTTTACAATTTTACAATGAAATTTGCTAAAATTCGATTTTTTTAACCATTTCTATAGCATTATGCAGCTCGAAGTGGTAATCTGGAAATATGCCGTCTTTTACTGGAACATGGTGCAAATGTAAATGCCGTAACTCCAGAACTTTCGTCAACTGTGAGTATGATATTTGTAAAATATTAACTATTGCATATGTTCACATACGTAATTATATACTACAAATCATTAAATTTAATTAGCCACTTCACCGTGCTGCTATTATCAATAATTCGGAAATGATTGATCTTTTATTATCATATGGTGCTAATCCCAAGCTAAAAGATTCTGATGGACATACTCCATTAGACAAGGCTCGTAAAAATGGGTCTGAAGACGTTATTTTAATTTTGAAAAAGTTTAGTGAATCAGAATAGATTTATTGAAATCTATAGGGTGGTTTATAACATATATTTTATATAGTAATCATTTGGGTACGTAAATTACTTCGTGATACAGATCATGTGACGATAAGATCACCGTTTATAAGAAAAAATTGAACACTCATTATTTAACGTTAATTTTTTTTACGTATTTACGAGATCGGGCAATTAATTTCTACATTTGTAAAATTAATTTAACTTAATTGTTATCTCGAATTTACGTTCAATCTTAAATTGTAAGTTTATATAATCCGAGTAGCAAATATTAAATTTTTCATTTGTACTTCCGGATCAATTAGCAGTAATAAAACTAATGCTATCCTCAACATTTTTACATGAAATTTATGTATTTGCTTTTCTCATAATATTATATTATGATAATATAAAAGAACTAGGGTTTCTTTGTAAATTAAGATTCGATAATTATTCCAACATTTCCTTTAAAGTTTTCTTTATTTCCTTGATACAATTACGTTCAAATATAAAATTTAAATAACTAATATTCACAGCCCAAAAATGTTACCCAAGGTGTCAAATGAATACACAAGCATTGGATGTAACAGATTTCCACAAGTTGCTGCTTGGGGAAAGGATGGAACAGTTGCATTTGGGGCTCATAATTATGTGGCTTTATATTATCCTGAGGTAATATATCTTGAAAAAAATAAAATAGATGTTGTTGGTGGTATTTAATTTGATAAAGATTATTAATGTGAAAGGTAGCAAAGAAATATTAATAATATTGAATCTTCTTTAAACATACAACTTTAAATAATATATGTATGTTTAGGATCTAGAATGCCGAGGTATTATTTCTACACTTGCAGGGCACAAAGACCGAGTGAATTGCGTTGACTTTATATATAGAGGTAGGACAAATTACTTTTCGTTTTGCTTTTCTATCAATCACTAACACTATTTTACCAATAGGAGATGAATTAAATCAAAAGAATATCGCAATAATATCTGGATCAGCTGACAAAACTGCTAGAGTTTGGAAATTAACAAAAGACAATAAAGTAAATTATGTCCTTCATTTCGTACTAATATGCATTAACAATTGTCTAATGTGAATTAATCATTTATAATTATTAGTGGGTAAATTCAGCAATTTTAGAATCTCATGGAGGTTCGGTAAATACCCTTGGAGTAACTCGAGCAAAGTCGATTATAGTGGATAAAGATCTAATCATAACTGGATCTGCAGACGGTGTTATTAAAGTTTGGGAAAGGAGTATTTGTAATGATGTTCAAGGTAAATGTATAATTCACTTCCTTGTTTACAATTATCGCAGTTAAATGTATATTTGATCCTTTAAAATTTGTGATAGACTCAGTAAAATGCTTGCAAACAATTAATTTGGAAAGAAAGTATCCTATGGCCTTAGCTCTGTCATATTTACCAGAATCAAAAAGTATGTCAAATGATGTTATCTGTAAAGATATGATGCTTTAAATTAAAATTATGCATTTAGCATTAACGATTTCTTATTTAGTCCCAATATTAGCATGTGGAGGTACCGATAAAAGGATATTATTATATGTTCAAAAAGATGGACTGGTAAATAATTATCATGCAATTATGTGCCTACTGTTTACCTAATCACGTACACAACGTCAATCATACTATTGATCTTAGTTTATTCCATCTCTAAAACTTCAAGGACATGAAAATTGGATTAGATCTCTATCGTTTGCTACATACACTGAATCAAACAGCGCCACCACTTCATCTGAATCAGATTCAACCATTCAAGAACAATACAAATTAAAAGATGGCGATTTATTGTTGGCAAGCGCATCACAAGATAAATATGTAAGGTTATGGAGAGTTTCATATAATGGTGAAGTTAGCAGTTCTTTAGATAGTGAGGATATTACGAACGGAAAATCAAAGGAAAAAAAAAGTTTGAAAGAATTGCTAGAAAATCTAGAAAATCTGTCAGATGATACTAAGTGTGTGCTTTTTTTTTTTAATGTTTTCGGGCTTGTGTTGTGTGCATTAATTTTTATTTGTATTTATTATCATTTGTATTTATTATTATTTGTATTTATTATAATTTTATTTTCATATAGTTCGCTTGGCAAAAAGATACAGTTACATACAAAAGCTCATATAATAGACGTCGATATGTCATATACCAAGTAAGATGAATTCAATATTTATTTTTGAATACACAAACCAATTTACTTATTCCATTTGTCTTTCATTTATGATTAGAAAAAGGTATTCGGCAATGTTTGAAGCATTACTTATGGGTCATGATGATTGGGTATACAGTGTTTGCTGGCAACCTTCGATTCCTATAGTAGGTGTGTTAAAATTTTTATTTTTTATTTATAGTAAAATACTTATATTTAGCATCTCATATTTATAATAGTGTTTAATTTATTTTATAGACGAGAAAGGAAATGTTAGGTATCATCAACCAATGTCAATTTTAACTTCTTCATCTGATAAATCAATGATGATTTGGAAACCTGACCAAGACACTGGTGTTTGGGTGAATTTGGTAAATACCCTTCATAGTTCATTGCTAATAAGATATATAATAAATTCTTTAACAATTTTACCCGCAATTATAGGTCCGAGTAGGTGAAATTAGCGGTTCTGCCTTGGGATTTTTCGGAGGTTTATTTGGTCCAAAAGGAGACTATATTTTAGCTCACGGCCATACCGGTGCTTTTCATTTGTGGAAAAATTTTAGTGATCATGGTGACTTATTTTTATCTTGATTCTCATTAAGATGGTATTTGACTTTCATTATTACAAATATAATTTACTTACGTTATATTAACGTTTTTTATGATCAAGATTGGCAACCTCAAATATCAATAAGCGGATGTTTTAATTCTGTACAAGATATTACATGGGATCCGACATTTAAATATCTTGTCTCCGTAAGGTACTTGTTTTCTATGTTTACTTATCTATAAAAAATTCGGTTAACTTGAATAAATTCTTGATTACTATATACAGTCTTGATCAAACAACGCGTTTATTTTCATCTTGGATCCGAAAACTTGATATTGATCAAAAAAATGACGCACAATTCCCAGAAAAACAAAATTCTATAGTAACAACATGGCATGAGATTGCCAGACCTCAAATTCACGGGTATGATATACAATGTATTGCTTTCGTTACTCAGTGGAGATTTGTCAGTGGCGCTGATGAAAAAGTAAATATTTATTTTTAATAAATTATAATCCATAAAGATTAATATTTGTACTAAAATTTTTATTGATCAGATATTAAGAGTATTTGATGCGCCAAAAACCTTTGTGCAATCATTATCAAAATTATTAGGCGAAGAAGTTTTGGGAGAATTAGTTAGTAATCTTTTTATTCTGTACTGTTTTCACTTCATTATTTATTTATTTATTTTAAATATTTAAATTCATAAATTTTCAAAGGATTCCCGTCCGATAGGGGCAAACATACCACCGCTTGGGTTGTCTAATAAAGCAATATTTAATTATGATGTTGAAAAATTATCAGCACAATCCGAAGATGAATTATTAAGTCGACAACAGACTTTCTCGGAAACTTTGACAACACCAAGCTCTTTAAAGATTTTGGAACAACCGCCATTTGAAGAACAATTATTACAGAATACTTTATGGCCCGAAATCGATAAATTGTTAGTATCTTTATAAATAACTGTTTATTTGATTGGGGTTTAAATATTCCTGTTTAATTTTGGTATATATTATGATATCATATAGATATGGACATGGATATGAACTAATAAGTGTTGGTGCAAGCCATGATGGAAAATATGTAGCCTGTGCCTGTAAGGTATAATACATCTTATTCTTTTACTTATCTGTATACATCATAAAACAACTCTATTCTCATATTCTAAAATTTTTCTTTTGTGAAAACTAATTCTCTTTCTTTCATTGGGAAGGCTACAACGCCAGAAGATGCAATGATCAGATTATATAATACAGCAACATGGAAAGAATTGACGAATGGATTGCTGAAATCACATTCATTGACAATTACAAAGATTAGATTTTCACACGATGATAAATTGATATTGAGCATATCTAGAGATAGGACATGGTCTTTGTTTGAGAAATGTGAAGGAAATGAAGGTACTTTATTAATATTATTTTATCGTGAAAGAAGTTTATCGTATTATTCGAAGAGAGTATAACTGTCCCTTTACTTTTTAATAGCAACACCGTACAAATTTATAACAAAAAATAAAGCACATGCGCGTATAATATGGGATTGCTCATGGAGTCATGATGACTTGTTATTTGCTACTGCTTCAAGAGATAAAACGGTAACTTTTTGGATACATACTAATAGGAAATTTTAAGTTAATATTTAATTACCTTTTTACTACTTTAAAGGTTAAAATATGGAATCGAGAAGCCACTTCACAATCACAAGATCAAAATCAATGGCGTTGTATTACAACTTTGAAACTTAATGATGCAGTTACAGCTATTGATTTTGCACCTAGATTTATTGATGAAGGGTAACTATTTTTCTTATCATTTTACATATTTTATTTTATTGATGTATTGATGTACTTAGTGTTTAAGCCTTTTTTTTCTTAAGATATTTTATGGCAATTGGTCTAGAAAATGGCCAAATCCTGTGTTACCAATCTGAAAAAACGCAAATTGATAAATGGAATTTGATAATTGACTTTGACAGGGAGTAAGTAATACTTTATACGTTATGTTTTCATCTATATTTTTAATGTTATTTTCTGACATATATATATTAGTAATTGCCATGTTGCGAGTGTGAATCGCCTCACTTTTCGATCTACAAGTACGGCGTCAAGTACAACAGATGTCAACATTGATAATCATGAAATGATGAATAGGTTACAACTAGCAAGTTGTGGGTCCGACTGTTGTATTAGAATTTTGAATTTAGATTTCTGAATATCCAATATTTATCCTGTCGCTCTCTGTAAGATTTGTACCATAATTTTTATAATCTTTTGAATAAATTTTACAAATTAATGAGTCTTTATTTCGACACCTGATGTTTAAAATCTGTGACGGAATCGTCTAGTAACTCATAATTGAATTATACATTTGCCAACCTATAAATGATTATATATTTAGTATCCAATTTTTATAAGTCTACATTCCTTTTTTTTTTAAAAAAAAAAAAAAAGACATACTTAAATCCTAAAATTTCATATCCAGCCCAAACTTTATTGATAACATATGGATCTTCTTCAATATATTTCCTTACTTCATCTTCATTATCAGCCTCCATTATCATAACACTACCGATCATCGTTGCATCTTCGGATTTAGTATCCGATAAGATTGCACCGCCAGTAACTATTAAACCAGATTCTTTGAATTCCTTAACACGGGATAAGTGCTCAGACCGAGAAGAAAGACGGCGCGCGCCAGCATCCGGATCATCATGGTCAGATGCTATTTTGGATATGAATTAAAATTAATTAGTGCTCTGTAAAGAGATGAACATTAGATATGCGATGAATTATTTGTTACTTTTACCTAACACTATAAAGTGTTTGTTAACTTTATTTGGATTAGAATCATTGATTTTTTTTATTTATAAATCATATAAGATAGATTAAAACACAATCAAGTACAAAAAGAAATTGTAAAATTTTACCAGCTGATTTAGTACTAAATCTCAATTTATTACCGACTAAAAAAGAAAAAAAAACTTCGTATGAATTTTGTTTTCAAAATATTGGTTTTTGGGAAAAAATTACCAATTGAAGCTCGGGAAAGTCGATTTGCTGATAATACATTTATCAAAAAACATTTAGAAAGTTTATTTAACGACATTATTAGACTTAATTTTTTTCGAATTACATATATAGTTTAAATCGTAAAAATTTCGAGTCTTATTTAGTATTATTTACGATTAATAGCGATAGTAGCTCGCACCATACAAATTTATCCGGCACGTGTCACTCCACGCCACAGTCACTTCCCATTTGTGAAACATTTCTGTCCTCACGAAGTGGTGGCAGTAAAATGTCGCGGTCTCGTGATCACCGACCGTTTCCGAATGATAGTCCGAAATTAGTACAGTAATAGGATCAAAATAGCGATAGCATTTACGTTATATTAAATCGATGTATAATATGTTATATATGCTAATTAATATAACGAATAAACTTTTATATTATTAATTTAGCATAGCGAAATTAAATTAATCGAATTTACATTTGCTTCGAAAGTTGATACGTATAATAAATAGATATATAATTAATATAAGAACGAAATCCGTATAATAATCAAAAAAAGGTAAAAAATGTAAATTTGATATAATTTAAATTTTTTTTTTTGGTATTAATGTGACGTTTTTGATTTTTTGACTTTATTAACATTTTTTTGGGTAACGCTTTCACATGAACTACTACAGGAAGAGCATACAACTAGTTACACATGTAATTTTTCTATATTATCTATTTAAGGAGTTCATTCAAAGGTTTCTTACCAATTGTTATACCTAATATTTCTGCTTAAGTGTTTTATTTTAAACCTTTTAATATTACATTCTTAGTATCAATTTCATCAAATCATAGGAGTATTTTTTTATATCTGGATTTTTGTTTTAATTTTAGAATTAATTTATTCTTGAGGTAAATCTTTTAGAGTTTTCTATTTTCTTATTTATAATTGATCTAATATTATAGTTAAGACTAACACTTGTAATTAGAACTAATCATTAAATTGCTATAATCTTATCAAGTTTATACAATTTCAGTATCTTTTTTATAACTTTACTGGTATCTTGTCTATTTTTACAAGTCTTTTTATACTACTAATATAGTAAGTTCTATATGATATGAGTTTTTATTCAAATCAACCAATAGTTTGTTGTGGATTTTTTTTTATTTAAGAATTCTTGTTTATATAAGTTACTTAGGTTTTTTTTAGATCAAAATTTTTATAACTGTTTATATGACATTGTATATTTTTAAAATTAGTTTACTATAATTAGAATTATAGGATTATAATATTAGATATTTTATTCAACTTAACAGAATAGAATTATATGTTAAAATTCTATTATTAGAGAATTTAAATTTTAAACCTATTATTTAGAAAATAACAACTCAATTACTATATTAAGATCATTATTCTCTATAATATAAATTTATATGTTTGGGATATGATAACCTAGTAAAATAGATAAGTTGTCAATCCTCAAGTGGCAGGTCTAAGGTTCAATTCCTACAGACAACAAATTTTAGAAATTATATTTATATTATAGTAACTGTCTCTTGTTGATCAGTTGGGTTTTGGGTATCTGTAATTTTAAGTATACCAAATTAAATTTTACCTAATATTGGGAGCTCAAAGCAACTATATGAAGTATAATGTTATATATATATAAAGAAATATAAAAAACTATTGTTATATAAGGTTTCAGTACAAATCTATAATAAGATTACTAGACATAAAAGGTTAAGAAACTAAGAAAACAAAAACCTACTTGAAAATTCTGAATAAAAAGATAGTACAAACTTTTAATGATATTATTAAACTAATAAAAACCTATAAATTACCTTTATAGGAACTGTCAGATAAACTGAATGACAAGATGTGTAGAGAAGCATATGATCAACCAGATTACCAGAATCACTAAAAGAAAAGAATACATAAGTATACTATATCAGACTATCTGGATTGGAAGTCTGGAGAGTCAGTTGGTTCTGAGTAGTGATTAGTAAAGAATAATAGAAAAGAAGTCAAAAAAATGATATTAGAATTTAGATAAACTTTATAAAAATAATAGCAGTTTAATAGGTAATCCTGATTACAAGTATTAGTTTTAGTCATAATATCAAACCAGGTTAACAGTAAAAAGAAACATAGCTCAATCTAATAAGTTTATATTAAAGATAAAAATAGTCTAAAAATTATAGTTCAATAGTTAAAAGTAAATAAATCTGGGTCTGTGATCTGGTAAAATTAATATTAGAGTCAAATCAGAAAATTTAAATAGAACATCTAAGCAGAAGTGTTAGGTGCTGCAATTGGTAGAGAACCTCTAGATGAACTTCTTAAATAGATAATATAGAAAAGTTATATATAACTAGTTGTATATTCATCTAATAGTTCAATATGAATATATATATATAAATATATATCTAATATAAGTATTAATAAAAAGCTAAAACTAAAAAGGTTATCTTAATACTGAAAAAAAATAAAAAAAAATTTATATATTTAGAATTTTAATAAACAGATATATAATTAATATAATTTAAAACTGAATTTATATTATTTTAAATAATTTTTTTTTATATTTAAAAGTTATAGTTCATGCTAATTATTTTATTAATATATATTGAGATTAGTAATACAACTATTTTTACAGAGAAGTGTATAACTAGTCATACATATAACTTTTAATTATCTATTTTAAATAATTTATTCTAAATTTTATATTAAACATTGTTTTATAATCTACTAAAAAATTATTTATTTAAACCTTCTAATTATTTATTTTATTAATTATAAAGTCTTTATATATACTTAACTAGTATATTATTTAAGCAATATAATATTTTCTTTTTTGAACTAGTATTTAGAAATAATACTAGTATTATTAATAATTAAAGATGCAGTTATATAATTTTTCAATCTCTAATTTTTATTAACATATATAATATAAATTCTGTTTTTTATTTTTTTCTTGTTTGTATTATTTATAATTGTTTTTCTATTTATATTTATAAGAAAAAAGGTTAATTATAAATTTTTTTATATAAACAATCAAATATCAAAATTTCTAATTTTTTTTTTAATATTAATGATGAAGCTATGTCTCTATTTTTATTAAATATTTAATTGAGATTTTACATAGAGTACAATTTTGCTTTTAAAATATTATAAAAAGAATAGAAGCTTAGACTAATTTATTTGTAATCTAAACCAACTAAAATGGACAAGGTTTATTTAGATTTGAGTATTAATAATTATATATAGAAGATTAGTTTAATATTTAATCTATTGGATATATTAAGAGTTTATTTTTAAACTAATAGAGTCAAACAAAAAAGGATATAATGAAAGTAAAACAAAGTTTGATAATAAGTTATGTTCAGAAGTTTGAGCTATAGATTTTGAAATATAATAGGAAATCCAGATTTTATAATAAATTTGTTAATTAAAATAAAGCAATAACTTTATAATAAGTATTATAGCTACTTTTTTAAATGACAAACTTGTAATAATATTAATAAGTTTATTTAGTATTAAACCTATTAGAGTTGAGAAAATTAAAGATATATCTGATAAATTGTAAATAGTCATACTACTTAGTAGCTTAATTTAGTTGTGTAAATTAATTATTATATTTGATATAGTGTTAAATATATTGGTATTAAAAGTATGTTTTAGTGAAGTATCTATAAGTTTGTTTAATAATTAGTTAAATAGACAGATTGTTTAATGAAAATGATAACTGGTTTAGCAATATTAATTACAAATTAATAAATTTAAATAATATTATTTATGCAATATATATGAAGTAGAAAGATTATCTAGTAGAATTTTGATTCTGAAAAACTTAAAAATAAAAGACTAAAAGCTGTATAAAAAGTTTAAGATTTTTTAATTGTTATTAATGTATAGACAGATAGCTTGCCAATTAACTTGATGAAGAATTATGTATTATTTTTAAAAGCAGTTTTGTATAATCTATAATGTATAAATATATGCATAGTATATTGTGCAGATATTGTAATAAATAAGTAGTTCTAAAAAAAGGTTTTCAAAATTTAAAGTATATGTAAAGTTATAAATATTATAAAATATAAAAATAAGATATGACAAATTATGATGGTTGTGTATAAGTTAATCTGTAAGATTATTGTATTAATTATTTTGATAAATAGTAACTTTGTAAAAAATAATATGAATATTGTATAATTGTCCAGAGCATAGTGATAGACACTTAATTTCTACATACTATGTAATATAAAAGTTACATTTTTGATGTATTTTGACTATGAAAAATTCTTTTTTGATATGTTAGCATAATTATTTTAATCAAATATATCAATATCTTAATTTGAAAATTTTTTGTTTGTCTACATGCATGATGCATAATTACAAAATTATTTTTGAATAACAAATACAACAAACAGGTTATTGATTAGTAATACAAAATTTATGATATATCTATACTTTATTTATTTATACTCTGAACTTATATCAGTTTCTGATTCCTAGTTTAATAAAATTAATAAATGTATTCTATAATAAGAAGTATAATGTATATGTATAAAATAAAATATAAGTTGGGTTTAAAAAACTGTAATATTTGAAGATTACTGATTGTAATTTAGTATATATATATATAATACAGTTTCTAGAAGCAGTAATAAGAACAGATAAAATAGTAGTAAGTTTAAACTTAAATAAATAAGACCAATATTTTGTCTAAACTTAAAATGTATACATTATAGTATTATTTGAAATTTAAGCTTATCTAATACTTATAAAGTATTGTAATATGCCTAAGTTGATAACAGAACCATCTGTATAGAAGTAAATTTCTAATAATTATATATTATAGTTAGTAATTTGTTAAAGATTGTTTGTTAAAATACTAGATTTAAAGATAGTTAAAATAGGATGCAAATCACTAACTCTTCCTAACGATCACTTGTACCAAATCCTTTCCAACAAAACTGCTCTTTTCTTAAATTATTATTAAGTAAACCTATCTTGGCTGCCTAACTAAAATTGTTTCACATAAAATTTTACATATAGGTGGCCTATATTTATATCTTTAAAAGTGTTTATCACAGGGATATAACTAA